TAACTTTAAGGCACAGATGATGATAATCCCTTCCCGGCTGGGCACGGTGGCTCACGCCCGTAATCCCAACACTTTGAGAGGCTGAGGTGGGTGGATCACGAGGTCAAGAGACTGAGACCATCCTGACCAACATGGTGAAACCCTGTCTCTACTAAAAATATAAAAATTAGCTGGACATGGTGGCACACGCCTGTAGTCCCAGTTACTTGGGAGGCTGAGGCAGGAGAATTGCTTGAACCTGGGAGGTGGAGGTTGCAGTGAGCCAAGATTGAGCCATTGCACTCCAGCCTGGTGACAGAGACTCTGTTTAAAAAAAAAAAACAACCCTTCCTGAAACTAACTTCTGAGGAGATAAAGAGGTTGTATACACAAGAAACAGTGTTAGTTGAAGATTTATTAGAGCATTGTGACCTGGCAGAGGACAAAGAATTTTCACCACCCCCTTGGGCTCTCACTGCAGCCCTTAAGCCTGTCATTATCCGACCCCTTCACCTCAACCTCCTTCTTCCTCCTTCCCTAACATACAAGGGGCCTGAAATCCATATTAACTTAAGTTGGTTCTTTAGGATATTAGTTCACCATCTGCTCAGTTTGGCGGCTCTCTGGAATACAGTCACCTTCCCTGTTCCCACACTTTGTCTCTCGACTTGCTGGCTGTAATGCAGCAAGAGATACGAGCTTTGGACTCACTTATAAATTAAGTAGGTAATATCTTTAGAAGGGAGTTAATTTTTATGATTCTATAAATCAGAAGACTCAATCACTCTACTTAAGGTACCTGGGTAAATATTTTTAGATATCATCCAATATATAACACTATCATTCTCTATTACTATATGTCAGCTCAATTTATAATTTCAAGATATATAGTTAATTTAAAAATTCATGACAAATATGAAATGGAGTTGATAATTTTGATTGCCTTTGGTTGTCTCTTACTTCATTAATTCACTTGGAGAATGCCGTTGCTTGCTGGGTTCAGATAGATTTCTGTATGCTGTAGGTATGCCACTGGGTGCTGTGGGTATTCTTATGTGTTCTTTGTTTTTCTGTTTTGTTTTGTTTTGTTTTGTTTTGTTTTTAAAGACGGGGTTTCACCATGTTGGCCAGGCTGGTCTTGAACTCCCGACCTCAGGTGATCCAACCGCCTTGGCCTCCAAAGTGCTTGGATTACAGGCGTGAGCCACCACGCCCGTCCATGTGTTCTCTTAACTCTTGGGAATTTTGTAAATGTTCACTCAAGTCATTTGTTGTTTTTAATATTTTGACATTTAAAAGTAATATGCCTTGGTATTCTGCACCTCCTAGCTTCTCAAACGCTCTCAAACAGCCACCTTCGTACTTTGTTACATACTGAAGTTTTTGTATGCTCCTAGCTTCTTAATCCGAGCTACCATCAAAAGCCAACTTTGCAAAGATAGGATGTCATGAAAACAATGTGCATAATGTAATGCTGGCGAATTTTAATTAGACCTCAATAAACTTGACTGTTTTTTGTTTTTTGTTTTGAGATGGAGTCTCACTCTGTCGCCCAGTCTGGAGTGCAGTGGCGCTATCTCGACTCACTACAACCTCCACCTCCTGGGTTCATGCGATACTCCTGCCTCAGCCTCCTGAGTAGCTGGGATTACAGGTGTGTGCCACCACGGCTGTCTAATTTCTTTTCTTTTTTTTTTTTTAATTTTTAGTAGAGACGGGGTTTCACCATGTTGGTCAGGCTGGTCTCAAACTCCTGACCTTGTGATCCACCCACCTGGACCTCCCAAAGTGCTGGGATTACAGGCATGAGCCACTGCACCCAGCTAAACTTGACTTTGAAAAAAGACCCACATTCCCAAACTTTGGCAGAATGAGGGCACTGGAATCTCCTACTTATTTCTGGCAGAAGTATAAATAATTCAAAAACTTTGGAAAGTTGGTTGGCAGTATCCTGCAATGACAAAGCACCAGGTAGGCACTGGTGGTTTCGCTTTATGTAGCATGCCTTTTGGAACATTGAACTTAGCTTTTCATTTGTGACAGAACTCCTGTTAGTTCTTAACCCTGAAGAAAAGAAGTGATCTGCTCCCGCTGACCCATTCAGGTGCTCCAAGTGACCGGGGACTCTGCAGAGGTAACAGGGTCGCTACTCACCATGCAAAGGCAGCCTCACAGGGCACTCTCCATCGGGAGAACATCTTTATGAACCCCCTTTCCTGCTCTTCTGGGATGGTATATGTGGGACGGGTCCCCCGTGGCATATGCACTCTGTGGCCACCTAGTGTTTAGAAACAGTGGGAGCCACTGAGAGAGAGAGAGAGAAATGACTCCGGTGACATCTGTAGGATGACTGTGACCAAAACACATCTCGGGCCTTGGTCATCTTTGAAAAGCTCTGAATTATGGGAAATGAAGCTTCAAATTCTGAGCAGGTTGCGAAAAAAACAAGCGCCTTTAGAAACACCAGCTGGGTTTCTGTGTAACACTTATGAATCGTCCTCTTGTAAATATCCAAGAAACTGGATCCGCCTAACCAGAAAAAGTCATGAGCAGAATGGAGAAAATGGGGATCTTTCTGAAATGCCTAAAATAATGTATTAGTGTGGACAATCAGAAATATTTGGTTTTAGGCCGGGCATGGTGGCCCACGCCTGTAATTCCAGCACTTCTGGAGGGCGAGGTGGGTGGATCATTTGAGGTCAGGAGTCCAGACCAGCCTGGACAACATGGTGAAACCCCATCTCTACTAAAAATACAAAAAGTAACCAGGCAGTGGTGGCGTGTGCCCGTAATCCTAGCTACCTGAGAGGCTGAGGCAGGACAATCACTTGAGCCTCGAAGGCGGAGGCTGCAGTGAACCAAGATCACATCACTGCCCTCCAGGCTAGATGACACAGTGAGACACCGTCTCAAAAAAAAAAAAAAGAAAAAAAAAAGTTTTTAGAACCAGACAAATTGAATGGGAGACTTACTTCCAATGATACCTAGAAATTTCTAAAAGAAATTCTGAGAAAATTGCCTCCATTGGGGAGTAAACCGAAGGCGGTCAGCAGACTTTTTCTGACCTGAAAAATACTGAGGAGGCTTTGCCTCTTTCGCCTCCACCAGCTCCTTCTCCTCCGGCCCCTGCACCTGCACAGTCTCCCTCAGCTGAGCCCTCCTGTCCTCTTGCCTCTTCTTCCATCACCGTCACCTGAGGAGAGTCCTCAGGGCCGTGGCCCATTCCCTGAAACTTCTGTTCTGACAGCCCCTTTCAAGGTAATTCACACAGGAAGAGGGGAGCCTACCACTGTGTATTCCGCTTCACCATAATGTGAATTAAGAATATTAGACAAGGGCCTGGGCGCGGTGGCTCACGCCTGTAATCCCAGCACTTTGGGAGGCCGAGGCGGTGGATCACCAGGTCGAGAGATCGAGACCATCCTGGTCAACATGGTGAAACCCCGTCTCTACCAAAAATACAAAAAAAAAAAACAAAAAAAAAACTAGCTGGGCATGGTGGTGCATGCCTGTAATCCCAGCTACACGAGAGGCTGAGGCAGGAGAATTGCCTGAACCCAGGAGGCGGAGGTTGCGGTGAGCCGAGATCGCGCCATTGCACTCCAGCCTGGGTAACAAGAGTGAAACTCCACCAAAAAAAAAAAAAAAAAAAGAATATTAGACAAGACTTCCCTGGTCTAAATGTAAATACATTTTCCCCTTCTGTTTCTAAAACAGGCTCAAGATCCTATAGGGTTTGGGAGAAAATTTGACTTAACTGTTGAAACCTTTGAGCCCAAATATTCTGACCTTCATCAATTAATTCACGTGCGGGTGTAAGAAGGCAAGACCACTAAACTGGATACAAAAGGCAAAATGGAAGGATTTTCAAAAACAGGCTGAAGAAGAACATGAAAGGGTCCGCATTTTGGCCAAATAACTCCGTGTTGCCGTTCCCCAGGTCCTTCCTAAACATGTAGATTGGGGGATAATTCAGCAATGTACTGAAAGCCAGACAAATCTGTCTTTCTTACTTAAAATGGTTTGAGAGCCAGGTGTGGTGGCTCATGCCTGTAATCTCAGCACTTTGGGAGGCCGAGTTGGGTGGATCACTTGAGGTCAGGAGTTCAAGACCAGCCTGGCCAACATGGTGAAACCCCATAGCTACTAAAAATACAAAAATTTGCCGGGTGGCTGAAGCAAAAGAATCGCTTGAACCCAGGAGGGAGAGGTTGCAGTTAGCCGAGATCCTGCTACTGCAATCCAGTCTGGGAGATGGAGTGAGACTCTGTCTCAAAAAAAAAAAAAAAGAAAGAAAGAAAGAAAAGCAAAAACCGAAACAAAAACACCATTTCTAAACAGTTTGAGTGGTTTGAGAACCCGTGTCTTTACTGGGGCAGGGTCCCACTCTGCCTTCCAGGTTGGAATGCAATGGCAGGATCATGGCCCGGCCCAGCCTCGATCTCTCGAGCTCAAGTGATCCTCCCACCTCAGCCTTTGCAGTAGCTGCTGTGATCACAGGTGTGCGCCACCACGCCTGGCTACATTTTTGGTTTTTTTTGTAGAGACGAGGATTCTCTCCTCTCTCGTCTGTTACCCAGGCTTGTCTTGAACTCCTGGGCACAAGTGATTTTCTTCTCTGAGCCTCTCAAAATGCTGGGATGACAGACATGAGCCACCGCACTCGACAGAGAATTCCTTCTTTTTTTTTTTTTTTTTCAATAAATACGACAGAGAATTCTTTCTTTTCTTTTCTTTTCTTTTTTTTTTCAATAAATACGTGCTGATTTATTACAGGGATAAGATGGTCTCTTGGGGGATAAATTCAAGAAGAGTTGAGAATGTTTTATTCATTTATGATGTCCCTTTCCAGGAAGGAAGGACAGCAAGATTTAGGACAAGCTAAAATCATCCCCTATTAAAAAAAAAAAAAAAAAGTCACCACCAAGTAGTCCCAGACAAGGAGGAAGAATAAAAAATATGTATCTGCAATGATTCCTAATTGTTTTTGAATACAGAAGCTTGGGAAGGGTTTTCCAGCAGAGGCTCATCTTTGCAGGCAAGCAGCTGGAAGATGGCCGCACTCTTTCTGACTACAACATCCAGAAAGAGTCGACCCTGCACCTGGTCCTGCGTCTGAGAGGCGGTATGCAGATCTTCGTGAAGACCCTGACCGGCAAGACCATCACCCTGGAGGTGGAGCCCAGTGACACCATCGAAAATGTGAAGGCCAAGATCCAGGATAAGGAAGGCATCCCCCCCGACCAGCAGAGGCTCCTCTTTGCAGGCAAGCAGCTGGGAGATGGCTGTACTCTTTCTGATTACAACATCCAGAAAGAGTCGACCCTGCACCTGGTCCTGCGTCTGAGGGGTGGCTGTTAATTCTTCCGTCATGCATTCGAAGTGCCCAGTGATGGCAATACTCTGCATTATAGCCATGTGCCCCAACTTAAGTTTAGAAATTAACAAGTTTCAGTAATAGCTGAACCTGTTCAAAATGTTAATAAAGGTTTTGTTGCACGGTAAAAAAAAAAAAAAAAAAAAAGGTTTTTTTTTTTTTAATGATAACTTAGTGCATTTTATTAGTTTTCTTTCAGAGTCATTCTACAAAAGAGCAAAGTTAAAAACCAAGGCCCTGGCAAGAGGGTTTGAACCTTCCTCATGCTAGGAGCCTCCCCCGCAACTTCCCCATGTCCCCAGCTGTGTCACTGCTGCAGTTCATGGGGGTGGAGGGCTTGCTATTTTTGCCCCCCACCAAACCCAAAAAGGGAAAGATCTACCACCTAGAAACGCCTTTCCCTCACCCCAATCTCCCTCAAGTTGATCCTGGTTACAGAAGGTCATGGCAAGAACTGTTGGGGTCCTGCAGGGGTTCTGAACCCCAGAAGGTCACGGCCAGGGCACTGTTTGTGAAGAACGCATTATACTGTGGCTCAGCATCCCTTAGGAACGATGCTGGGCCTGGCACCTCACTCCCAGAGGCCAGTTGCACTCTCTTAGGCCAGGGAGAACTGGAGGTCAGGGCCTTAGCTGGGAGCTGGTACAGGTAGATACACTCAGATTTGAAGGGGCAGCGGCCATTCCCTTGAACGAAGAACCGGCATCGTATCTGACTGGTCCGAGCCTTGAAGTTCCTGATGAGTTGCTCCTTCTGAGCCCCCTTGCTCACCCAGAACTTATGTAGAAGCAGCGCTAGATGAAGTCAAACTGGACTGTCACGGCTGCCATCCTCCTCTTCCAGCTGCTTGCTGGCCACCTGGATCATCATGCAGTAGGCAAAGGAAGACTTAAGGCCATGCCGGTGACCTTGCTGAAAATCTTATTGACAGCCAGCTGGTCATTCTTACACACCAGGGCTGGTACAGGAGCCCTAGTATGTGGTGCTGGACCATGATGTTATCACTGGATGCCACCTCCGGAGCCTCATTCACCCAGCACTTGACCACGTCAAAGCTGCATTTCAGCAGGTGCAAGGAAGACACAGGGCAGAGCTGCAGACATGGGCACCTTGCCTACAATGGCCTGTTTCATGCAGCGCTCAGTAGCCGGCAGCATGGTGCTGTCGGTGATCTGGCAGAGGGCTCACACAGCTGGGCCCTGATAGTTGTCTCCTTTCCCAGTCACGTCTTTTATTAGCTGCTGGTGACAATGATGACATCCTCTGCGATGCCAGACATCTCCTTGATGGTCAAGTAGCACATCCGACAGAGTGTGAGATCATTGGACTGAAAGAGCTTGGTCATGGCAAAGAAGGCTTCGGTCACCTCCGTGGGTCTCCAGATGCTCCCCGTGGTTTATGAGATAAAGGATCTCGGTGAGGATGTGGGCACATTTCCGAGGGTTGATGGGAGTTTCATTAAATGCACGGGCCTCTTGGAGGATGGCTCTCTTCTCAAGGTGCTGGAGTGGGTTGGAGCCTCCACTTGAGTCCTCGTCCTTCTTGTGGCATTTCTTCAATGTGGTAGAGCCGGTGCGATGCAGCAGCAATGCAATGCTTGCAGGGTGCGGCACAGAGAGGCGGGCAACAGTGGTTCTGCAGGGACCCCCGATGGAGGATTCTTCAAACAGTATCTGAAATGGCCGACACTAGCCTTTAAGAGCACCAGAATGATTCCCTTATAAATTGTGCTTTTCTCAGTGGCTTAAATACTTAGTTGCCTTAGTGAAAGACACTAGCTCAGGCCAGGCACAGTCGTTTATACCTGTAATCCCAACACTGAGGGACACCGGACACTGAGGTGGGTGGGTCCCCGAAGCCTAGGAGTTTGACACTAACCTGGGCAACACGATGAAACCCTGTCTCTACAAAAAGAAAAAAGAAAAAGAAAAAGAAGAAAAACAAATTAGCGAGGTAGTAGAAATGTAATGCACGCAAGAATGATAATCATGAAGACAATCTGTATTCCAGAAGAGTAGGGAGCCTGTCCATTAGGAAGCCAACCGAAACCTCAAATCCCAGTTCACCAGTTCACACCCCAGGGTGCGGCGTCACACGCCGGTAGTCCCGGCTACTCGGGAGAATGAGTAACAGGATGGCTTGAGTTCGTGAGGTCAAGGCAGAAGTCAACCCTGGTCATGCCACTGCAGCCCAGCCTAGGTGACAGTGAGACCCCCTCTCAAAAACAAACACGCAAAATGCACAGAAACAAACAGCAACAACTTCAGGGTGTCACCTCAGTCTGACATGACTGTCAAACACCACTGTGCTATTGGGAAATTAAAAGGAACACACTCCCTCCTGCTGTCAACCTGCCCTCCTGCTCTAGCGTGTCTGACCCATGGGCTAAAATGCCCAAGAGCTGATGTACTCAAATGATAATACACTTTCCTGTTCTGCACCTGCATGTATGTTGTCTGGAGGAGATCACCATCCAGGTCCAATAAATGTCTGAGGGCATGGAGTGAAGAAGGGCGGTGTCTTTTAGGATATCTGAACACAGATATGGCTCTGAAGAAACCCAACACTGGGTGAGTTCCTCAAACTTTTCACTAGGCCTGACCACCACTCTATTTTAGATAGAGATTCTATTGGGGCAAAACCCGAGAATTATCTGCCTGGCCATCAGGAAGATAATTCCTTGCATTTTGTGGGGAGAACACTTCTGCTTGAAGGGAGTGTTTCTTCCCAGGATTGCAAATCTTTCTGTAACCTTAGGGAACATTGCTGATGAAAACCAGGCATGGTGGCTCTGGCCTGTTATCCCAGTGACTCGGGGGCTGAGGTGAGGGAATCACTTCAGCCCAGGAGTTCGAGGCTGCAGTGAGCTGTGATGGTGCCGTTGCACTCCAGCCTGGGCCACAGAGTCAGTTGCTGTCTCTGAAAGAAAAAGAAAAAGAAAGGAAAATATCGCTGATAAAACTGTGGCCTCTTTTGCAGCCCAGCAAAGAGCTATTCACTGGCTAAGTTGTACTAGATAATCGTGTCGCTTTAGTGATATATTCCGCTGAGCAGGGAGATGTATGTGGTGGCTGACACCTTCTGTTGCACATACGTCAGTACTTCCCATGAAGTAGAACGTTCTCTTGGAAAAATCAGAAAGAAGCCAGTTGGCTACAAGAACTCCCTGAAGAAGAACTGGGATTTGATGTTTTCCCTGCCGTTTTCAGCTGCTGCCATTTACTTCAGACGAGCCATTTACTTCCAACCCCAGCAGCAGACATTGCCTTGCTCAAATATAAAATTTAGGAACCAAAACCAAAAGCAACTTTCAGTGCTTTACTGATAAGCAAACAGGTTTTGAGAATGTTTAAGAAATGTCCCTTGTCCCGGGACCGTCATCACTAACGTATGCTTCGGATTCCTGATGGAGAAGCTTCTGAACAAAAAGCAGCCCACCAATCCCGCGGCTAAGAACTGCTTGGATATTGGTTTCCAGGTCCATGAAAACATACCGAGGTTCTGACAAAGACGTGGGCTTTCTGCCTTTGGGAAGGCTGATTCCTCAGATTAAAAACATTTTTTTAAATTTTTCTTCTTGAAAGCTTAGTCAGGGTGTCCCTCTCTGCCAGAAAGGCTCATTCCTGGATAGTCCTGTCCCACGTTGGGGACAGGGGAGGAAAGCAGCCACCTCTCTGAGGAATTTTTAAGAGTGCCTAAAAGTCCAATGGAAAGGTCGTTACAACCAGGTGTGGTGGCTCACACCTGTAATCCCAGCACCTCCCAAGGCCAAGGTGGGTGGATCGCCTGAGTCCAGGAGTTCCAGACCAGCCTGGGCAACGTGGCAAAATCCCATCTATACTAAAAATATACAAATGAACCATCCAGCTACTTAGGAGACTGAGGCATGAGAATCATTATAACCCGCGAGGTGGAGTTTGCAGTGAGCTGATTGTGCCACTGCACTCCAGCCTGGGTGACAAAGTGAGAGTGTCTCAAAAAAAAAAAAAAAAAAAAAAAAAAAAAAGAAAAGAAAAAAAAAGGCCAGAGAGAGAGAGAGACCTCAGTCGTTTCCAGCTGCTGTGACTTATTGAATCATCTCTTGTCTTGAGAATACCATGAAATTAATTTTCTCACAAGTAAAGCGATGAGAAATAGGTAACAATAATGACATTGCACTTGATCATTCCATGCCCTTAGTTACAGGGCCATGGATGGCGATCTTTTCAGGAGAAAAATAAAGGCTGGTGCAGAACACGTAACGAAATGTAATTTGAGTACATCAGCTTTTAGGCATGTAAGTGTCACGGGTCAGGAATTTAGAGCAAGAAGGCAGGTTGGATTCTGATAGCCGGAAAGAGTGTTTTATTATTTTTAACTTTCAAAGAGCATGACGGTGTTTAATACCACAGTTACTTTATCTCGGAGGAAAGTAACATCCGTGGTGGATCACAAAGTTTTCAAGTAACGAAACAACAAACCACACCCGACACCGTAAATACACAAAATGGGCCTGGGTGATAGAGCGAGACTCCACCTCCAAAACAACAAACAGAAAGAGCAGATGTGATGAAAACCGGTTGTGTTGAAGTCACAGCAGTGATACTTTCCAGTGGCTGCGCACCCTCCCAGGGAGACTTCGGCAGTCCTCTCACCAGCAGTGATCTCCTGGGTGGGAGGTCCCAGGAAGGGCCCTCAATCTTCAGCAGGTTTGACCCTCAAGGAGCATCACCTGAGGTCCAGAGTTCAACACCAGCCTGACCAACATGGAGAAACCCCGTCTCTACTAGAAATACAAAATTAGCTGGGCATGGTGGTGCATGCCTATAATCCCAGCTACCTGGGAGGCTGAGGCAGGAGAATCACTTGAACCCGGGAGGTGGAGGCTGCGGTGAGCCGAGATCACACATTGCCCTTTAGCCTGGGCAACAAGAGTGAAACTCAGCCTCAAAAAAACAAAACAAAACCCTATTTCTCTCTGTGAAGAACTAGGTCTTTATTAGGTCATCTGTTCAGCTCATCCAAAGGGGATTAGTGATTCAGTTTCTTGCTTCAAATCAGCCTCAATAAAATTTTTATAGCTTTAAAGTGGAAGACATTTGAACACTTAGGGGAGGAAATAGGACTTTTCCTCACCCAGACAAGGGTCACTGCTGAGGCCTTTACAG